CGACGTTGACTTGAGGCAGCGCGACTCTGCGAAGGAACGGGGGAGGGAGGTGCGAGGGAAGGGAGAGAGTGCAAGGGACAAGACGAGCGACGACGGGAATGAAACGAAACCGACAATGAAACGAACGAATGTAACGAACCACGAAAGCTGTTGTAGCACACGCTAGCGGGGGGTTACCTTAGGCTTACCATACCAAGGCCATACCTGCACCGGGGTTATTTTTTTTGCACCTGCAGTGGGGGACCGTGAGAACTATACCTTGAATTTCATACCTGAGACCTGGGGGGGGGGCTAAGGTGTGCTGCAGGCAGCCTCAACGAAGTGAAATGCAAGAAAAAAGACCTTGCTGTTGGGGGGATACTCATCGTTAAACGCGTTCGGAGCAGCTCGGCTGTTAAAGCGCCTTCACGGACGCTCCGGAATCGCGTAGTGGAATGACGCGGCAGCAGCTACGGACGTTGGCTGACGCGTGCTCAGACGTTGGTCGATCTCAGACGGCCGAGAGTCTCGATGTGATTGCCAGCCTCTGGCATGCAAAACAAGCACGAGCAGAAAATATGTCAGCACGTGCGGTCAATAAAAGACGCGCGAAATCCGAGGGACGCGACTCTCTAGGCGAAATCCGGTCCTAAGCTTACCTCTGGCTTTTATGGTTATGAAATGCGACGATGGAGCGTCGCGATCTTCAACGGAGAGCCGCCATCTTCAACGGAGAGCCGCCATCTTTAACGGAGAGCCGCGGTTAATATGTCGCCAAATCTGTACGACATAAAATGCGAACGAAATTAGTCACTATATTATTGGAAACAACAAAAGAAAACGAACTAAAAACGGCAGTAAAACGGAGCCGTACCGGCAAAGCTCCCGCAGGCGTAGGAGAATCGTGGGTCGCGCACGCAGCGAGAAGCAATGGACGTGAAGCTCAAGCAGCGTCGCACATTTCTCGCGCAGCGTCGCACATTGCTCGACGCCTTGGGTCGTGGAAATGGCAAGATGCCATGAAGGCCAAGCTCGTGCAGCGAACGTGCAGCGAGGCACTGCTCGACGGCTAGAAGCTAGTGCGAGAGCAAAAGAGGAGCGTCATGGTTGCTGCAGTAGAGGTTGCAGTTGAAGAACAATCGGAAGGCGAAAATGGAAATGCAGGCTGCATGAGGAAATTAATACGCGATGTGGTGAGAGCGAGGTGACGTGAACGAGGCGAGATCGACGACAAGTAAGAAACGGAGAGGGAGCGCCGAAGGCGTGGGGCGAGAGTGGAGCGCGTATGGCTCGGCTGAAAACGAGGAGGGTGGGGTGAGGTGAGCAAGCTGATAGCGGCCTGTCAAAGGCAGCGGCGTTGGCGGGAGCAAGCAAAGCTACGGACGGTGGAGGGGTTGATTGGGAGGCAGCTCTGAATTCTGCAGTGCCAGGCACTCGCCCTTGGCCCTTAGGGCTCTCCTCTCCAACCAACCCAATCTCCAAGGTTGCCTGCCACCCCACCAGCATGGGGAAGCTTGGGGAGGATGAAAACTTTCCAAGGGGTGTGTTTTGGGAAATACATCCCGATGGCCCCTGGAGGCAACTCAGTTGTTTTCCTGAGTATTAGCATATTTGGGGTTCAATATTCAGTTTGTTACGTAAGTTTCTCAGGTCAAATGCAAAGTATGCGCTGTAAACAGAACTTTTGGTTTCCTGTCGAAAGTGCATGAATTACGGGCAGCAGAGGAGAACTCGCCTGTGGGCATGTCAGAATACAAGGCAGAAATATAGAACACGAAAGAGGGGGTTTGGACTAGCAGCAGCAGGATACATATAGGAAACCCTAAATTGGGTTGTACTCGCTATAGAGTACCCCACTACAGGCTAGACAAATACAACATTCTGACACACCCCCATAGCCAAAGTGGGGTGTAATCAGCACAACAAGCAGGCAGAGCAATAGTTCACAATGATAAGCAAAGATAGAGGCAGTCGCAGAGGGCAAGTGAGGAGGAGGAGTGATTGTGAGAGGAGAGGAGATGGGAGGCGACGGCTGAAGCTGCAGACACACGGGCAACAGGAGCGGCTGGCTCAGTGGCTACCGGAGATTGTAGCCTCCGGACTACAGGAGTAACTGGCTCCGCGGCTACGCCGAGCGGCTGGAGCAACTGACCCACGGGCGACTGGCGCAGCAGGCTCGCTGGGCTACCGGAGATTGTAGCCTCCGGACTACTGGCGCTGCTGGCGACGCGACGGCTACCTCCGCCCAACCTCCCCCAACCGTCCCACCCCCCTTACACACACCCCTTGCTGCACCCCTAGTTCCACTCCCATGTCACCCCCCTAGCGCCACTCCCTCGGCTCCCACACACCCACCCCCCTCAGCGGCAGCTGCAGCAGTGGGAGACGGAGGAGCAGGAGGAGCAGGGGACGGTTCACATACGCTCCACCCCCACACTCGCCACCCGCGGGGATGAAGGCTCGCGGTAGACGGGGGGAGCGGGGGGGGGGGGGGCAGGAAGGGCGCGCGCGGGTCCCCCAGAGCGCCGCAACGGGCGACGGGATGGCAGGGGGGGCGCGCGGGGGTCCCCCAGGGCGCCGCGACAGGCGACGGGATGGCAGAGGAGGCGCGCGCGGGTCCCCCAGGGCGCCGCGACGGGCGACGGGATGGCGAGGGGGGGCGCGCGCGGGTCCCCCAAGGCGCCGCGACGGGCGACAGGATGGCAGGGGGGGCGCGCGCGGGTCCCCCAGGGCGCCGCGACGGGCGACGGGATGGCGGGGGGGGGGCGCGCGCGGGTCCCCTAGGGCGCCGCGACGGTTAGGGTACCGCCGCACGCCTCGGGGCGCGCGACGGGCAGGGCAGGGCGTCGCGCGGCCAGCAGGGCGGCGCGACGGGCAGGGCAGAGCCGCGACGGGCAGAAAACCGCCGCGCGCCCCGAGCGTGCGGCGGGAAGAAAAAACGCCGCACGCGACGAGCGCGCGGCAAGCAGAAAACGTCGCGCGCCCGGGGCGCGCGACAGGCAGTACAGCAGCGGAAGCATTGGGTGGGCCCACCCACAGGATCGACCAGGGAGGGTCGACTTGCTCTGATAGCATGTCAGAATACAAGGCAGAAAGATAGAACACGAAAAAGGGGGTTTGGACTAGCAGCAGCAGGATACATTTAGGAAACCCAAAATTGGGTTGTACTCGCTATAGAGTACCCCATTGCAGGCTAGACAAATACAACATTCTGACAGGGCAGTGTTTCGCATTGGCTCCGCCGCTGGTGTCAGAAACCCTTCGGGCCTCGCGATTTGTTGCGAAAATTGTTTGGCGGAGAAACCGCTAAGTATCCGACTGCTTTAGAAGAATTGACCAATCATGTGGTTTGCGACAACGGTAAACAAGGCAGCGACGGATGGAGATGGAAATCACTCTGCCTGGGCAGACTTTCCTGCCCTTCATTTTCAGCAGTGAGCTACAAAATATGTTCGAGTGGTAGTGTAAGCCAAAATATTTGTTCGAACTCACTCTGTCTGGTCCTACAAACATTAATTTTCACGCCACCAGCACAACTTTTCCGAACATATATCCCCCGTTCTCCCCATACTTTTGGCAAAGCAAAGGCGCGCGCAAACCGAAGCGCTAAACCAATTTCTGCAATTACCCGAACCTTTCGGGAGCAAAAGGGGAAGCGGCGGAGGGAAGCCGTTGGGCAAGCAGCCTTGGGGTTGGTTGGGCGCTGGACTGGGCTCCCCTGATTTGGGCTGGAGCGTCGGGATTCGGGAGGCTAGCAGACAAGCGCAGTGGCTGGTTCAGCCAAACCTGCTTCCACCGCCCACACATCACTCTCCCCTTCCCCCGTCGCAAGCAAGGCACTGCACTCAGTCGCCCAACCCACAGATCCGTCGCATTATTGTTTCTTGCTGCGATTGCTTGGTGCAATTGATTCCACACATTCGTTCGCACTTTCACTTTCGTTGTCGCACATCCCTCAAGCGATGGTTCCTGCAAGTTCCTCTACTCACTGCAACAATTCCTTCAGCTCAACAACGAATTCAGCTCAACAATTCTACTCGCGCGTGACGATACTCGACGCTTCTCGAGACGGTTCTCGCTGGGCGAACTATTTCAACGGCGGCTACGATTAGTCATCCGTGCGGCGTTTACATTCCGGCTGATAGAGCATCTTCCGAGCGACGATACTTACCGCTGGTCAAACTTCTTCTCGCTGGCGATGTTGGGCGACGATTCCTCATTTGCGTCTTTTGGCTCGCCAACGATACTAGTCGACGCTCGCGGCCATCCTTCTTGCTGTCGACGGTTCGTCTCTCGTGCGACGTTTCCTTTCCGTCTATCTAGCTTCTCGTAGGCGACGATATTCAACGCTGGTCGCAATTCTTCTCGCCGACGACGACATTTGTCGCTGACGACGGTTCGTCTGGCTCGCGACGAGTCGTCTCGTCGCAGAGGGTTATTCTCGCGGCCGACGAGCTCTTGCCTGGCAGCGATTCCAGTCGGCGACGCGCAATGATGCCAACGCGGTGAAGCCGACCAGGTTAGCCCGCGCAGTTCCCTTCTATCGTCCATCGTTTCGCGCATCGTTTCGCGCATCGTTTCGCGCATCATTTCGCGCATCGTTTACAGTTGCTGTCGCCTGTTTCCGTCTTCTTACCTTCCGAATTGTCGCGTATTCTGCGTGGTATGGCAGGCGCGTTCGGCGATGGCGTTCGTCCCGAGCGGGCGTTCAGTGCAGCTCGCGAGCGAGCGAGCCATTCATCGATTTCAATCGGCGACGCGTTCATTTCAGTTGACGAGCGAGCAATCAAGCCGTGCGCGCTGCTGCGGGAGCTGCGCGACGGCGTGAGCGCATGCGCGCAACGAATGGCATGTCGCGCTCGCCGCTGGCGGAGATGGGGTGACCTCGTATGGCCGTGCTGCATCAGGTCACCGGCTCGCACGCTGGCTCGCGCTCATGTCACCGCGTGCTCTTCAGGTCAACTCTCCTCCGCTCTGGTGATTGATTGGCGTCCGCCGTCTCAACTCCAGTCCATTGCCTCATGTTCATTCGGGAAATCACCCCATCTCGCTCTTCCCTCATCTGCCGCCTTTCCCTCGCACTCCTCGCTTTAGTTCGCTCACCATTCCCTTGCCCCTTCTCACTCGCCTACACCCCCCTCTCCCTGCCTCACCACCTCCTCGCCCTCCTCCCTTTCTACCCCCCTTCTCCACCCCCCCGCCTTTTATCCCTCCCTGACAGGTCACTGGCGCAACTGTAGGCAGTAGCAGCTCGCAGCTTGCAGCAGGCAGCAGGCAGCAGTAAAGCGTTGACTATCATCCGCCTTCAAGTCAAGCTAAGTGCCCTTCTTGCTCCCTGCTCAGACTGTCGCACCGTTTGCTTCTCGCGACTCTCTGCTCCATTCTTCATCCATCCAAATCTGGCCATTCGTGGGGGCACGACGCACAAGCCACAGACCACCGCCCATCACTCCTACAGCAGGTAAGCCCCCCAGGTTCAGGTTCAGACCCCCTAAGGTTATACAGCCCTTCAGGTAGTCTTGCGGGTCTGTGGCTTGTGGTTTCGCCTCCTCTAGTGGCCCCTCCGTCCCTTCCCTTGTTCTTCTTTATGTTTCGCCTCGCCTGTCATCTCCGTGTGGCATCGCATTCTGCAATCGCCCTTCCCCCATCATCCCACATCAGCGAAACTCATTCTCGCTGCGTCTGAGCTCAGCTCATTCCTCCCCGCCCTGCCCTCCCTGCCTGCCCTGCCGCCCCTACCTTCCCTTCCCGCCAGGCCTGCACAAGCCAAGGGAGAGCAGCGGCTGAGCAGCAAGCGACGGGGAGGGCCAAGGCGGGCAGCAGGGCAGCAGCACCAGGCCTCATCAACGGTAGAGGTTGCAGTATCGCCCCGCCACCACACCCCACATGAGCCCCCTCCCCCTCAGGTTCAGGTGCAGGTGCAGGTGCAGGTTCAGGTTCAGGTTGGTAGTGGCTCTTGTGGGGCTGTGGGCGGCATCACATGCACCGTCTTTTCTGCACTCGCACTGCTGCCAGGCGCTCTTCTCACTTGCAACGGCCGCTCCCTCCGCCTGCCATGCACTCACTCTCTCTCCCCCCTCCTCTGCCTCGCAGGTCCATTCTTTCAACCCCCCCTCGCCGCGCCCACTCTGCATCAACGCACCCCCTCCGCCTGCACCACCACTGCTCCAACTTTCAGCTAAGTCACTCGCCTCCTTCAACCTTGCCTCGCAAGTGCTTTCGGTTGATTTCAGTTCTGCTTCATTTCTGCCCAATCTCGCCACTGGTTGGGGCACGACTCGCAAGCCACAGACCTCCCTTTTCTTATTCCAGGTAAACCCCTCAGGTTCAGGTTCAGCCCCCCTACAGTCTTACAGCCCTTCAGGTCCCCTTGGGGGTCTGTGGCTTGAGCTTGTGCAGCAGCCAGTGGCCCCTCCCCTCTCATGTGCCTTGCATGCTCTGCTTTTGCACTTTCACCCTTCTTCCCCTCACTGCCTACTCACCAGCTCTGCGTGTGTGCCTTGCACGTGGGGGGGAGGGGCGTGGGGGTCAGCACCGCCATTCCCTCATGCCTCTCCCCGGTGGCCGTGCAGGGAAGGACGCACACGGGTAGGCTGGGAGGGGAGGGCTGCCGGGGAAGGAGTCACTTCGTGGTGCTGCAGCTGCCCTGTTCTCGCTTCTCACGTCTTACAGCTAAGTTCCCTCAACCCCTTGCCTGCCTCGCCATGTCGTGTGCATTTCGCTGGCATCTCGCTTTTTCCGCACTTGCTTTCGCACCTTCCTCTGGAAACAACGCCACTGGTTGGGACCGGCTCACATGCTGCAGACCCCTTAACTTCAGGTAACCCTCTCAGGTGCAGGTGTGCAAGTACCCCCTCAGGTGCAGGTGTGCAGGTACCCCCTCAGGTGCAGCCCTTGGGTCTGCAGTTTGTGACTTGGCCTCCACCAGTGGCCCCTCCCCTCTCCCGCCTTGCAAATGCCGTTCCCTCTCTTGCACTTTCACCCTTCATCCCCTCGCTGCCCACTGACCAGCTCTGCGTGTGTGCCTTGCAGGTGGAGGGGAGGGGCGTGCGGGTCCAGACCGACGCTTCCCCACGCCCCTCCCCTGTGGCCGTGCAGGTGCCTGTGGGGATTGGAGGGAGGCAGCACTACAGCAGCTTGCAGTTGGTGCGACGAGGGAGAGTATGTGGGTGGGCTGGCCTCTCAAGGTGCGTTACCTCCCTACTTGGCCTCGTGTCTCTCCTTTCAGTGCATTTGCTGCTCAGATCCATCTGCTTCCCTCTCTCTCTATGACTTAACTTCCCCTCCTCTCCCATCCACCCCCTCCCCTCCCCCCCGCCCTTCCCTCCGCCCATCCCCCAGCAGCCGCTCTGGTGGCGAGTTCCCAGCACTCCCAGCAGCGCCTTTGGGTGGTGTGAGGCGCGTCAGTGGCGGCAGCACAGCAGCCTCAAGGCGCCACCGCCACTCACAGCCGCACCAGATAAGTACACTCTTCCCTCTCGTCTTTTCAGTGCCTTGACTGTCTCACACTTGCACGCTCACATCCATTTTTCCGTCTTTCCATCCATGCTGCATGCCTCCTCCCTTCACGCCAATCCACCTGCAGCAGCCTAGCCCACATGGTGCGGACCCCCTATTCCAGGTATCCCTCCCCCCTCCAGCCCCCAGGTTAAGCCTACCCTAAACATTTACTATAGCCCACACTACCTTTGGGTCTGCACCATGTGCCTAGTGCTGCTCCAGTGGTCCCTCTGCTTCTGTCACCTGCTACCCTACCCCACCCATGCACACCCTCACACTTCTGCCCCTAGCGGCTTACTCAATATCTTCAGTTTTCTCCTTGCCGGTTAAGGGGAGGGGCGTGGGGGTCAACACCGCCACTCCCCCGCTCCCCTCCCCTTGTGGCGTTGCAGGTGCCATCGGGGCTACAAGGGAGGCAATGAGAAGACCTGGGAGCGACCAGGGAATCGGCCTGCAAGGGAGAGTATTGGGGAAGATCGGCCCTCACAGGTATGCCCCTCTGCTCACCCTCACTCCCCGTAACTTACGTTACTCCGAACTTCCTACTTCCAACCTTTTCACACCCCTCTCCACCCCTCTCCACTCACTTGTTGCTCTTCTCCTCCATGCCTCCCGCGTCTCTCCCTGCAGCATCACCAGCCAGTCCGCTGCTGCAGCAGAGGCTCAAGGGGTGGCACGCCAGCCAGAGGGAGAGCACGCGGGCTGCTTCCTGCTGTACAAGGTCAGCCGCCTTCCCTCTCTCTCATTCCCTCTCAACCTCACTGCACCAGTTTCCGCTGCCTTTTCTGTCTTGTTCATTCCCTTTCCATTCGGTCCTTGTATCATCTCCTGTTTCATCTCCTGTTTCATCTCCTGTTTCATCTCCCTCGAACCTGAGTCTCTGGTCATGCCACTGAGTCAAGCCACAGACCCCCCTTTTTTTTTGGGTAAGCGACCCCAGGTATACAAGGTATGCTCTCAGGTTAGGCCTCCCTAGGTATACAGCCCCTTTGGGTCTGTGGCTTGCAGCTGAGGCTGCACCAGTGGCCCCCTTTTCTGCTCTCACCTGCCATCTCACCCTACCCATGCATCCCTCTCACACTTCTACCCCTAGCCACTTACTCACTTCTCTTCAGTTCTCTCCTTGCTGGTTGAGGGGAGGGGGGCAGGGGTCAACACCGCCACTCCCTTGCTCTCCTCCACTGGTGGCTGTGCAGTGCCAGTGGTGGGCGGGTGGGAGGGAAGGCGGGAAGAATGCTGCCGGGAGGGAGAGTATCTGGGGTGGGGTTGGCCTCTCAAGGTGAGCCCCTTTTCGCCGCCCCACTTACTTCTGCAGTTGATGCCCCTTTTCTGTCTTCCCGCATGCGTTGCCCTTCCCACTCCTCTGCTCAGCCTTCGCACCAACGTCCTCTCCTCCCCCTCCTTCCTTTCCCTCTCTCTCCTGATCCTCCCCCTCTCGTCCCAGCAGGTCGCTCACTCGGGAGTGACAGTGGCGAGGGACATGGAGTGCACAGGCAGCAGCTGCTCTCCACCCAACCCACCAACAGCTAAGCTAAGTACCCCGCACTGCCTCTCTCCTCCCAACCCTCGCACTTGTGTTGCTTTTCATGTCGTGCTTGCACCATGCATCAATCTCCTGTTTCACAGCTCTCTGTCACACCCATGAGACCTCCCTCCCCCAAGGTAGCAGGTATCGTTTTTCTTGGTACAGCCTCTGGTATTCATTTTAGTTTGGTTCAGCTGGTACGAGGTCTCTAGGGTGTGTCACTTCAGCAGTCCATTCATGCACTCACTCATCATTCTTGCACTTGCTGCACTCTTCGCTCTCACTTCGCTCCCCTCATCTTTGCTTCTTTCCTCACTGCTCTCCCCACTCCTCTGCACCCCATTCACTCACCCGTTTTCTCCCCCTCCTCCTTCTTTCCTCTCTCTGTCCTGATCTGTCACCTCTCGTCTCAGCAGGTCACTCGCACGGGAGTGGCAGTGGGGGGGGACATAGAGTGCACAGGCAGCAGCTGCTCTCCACCCAACCCACCCACATCTAAGTGTTCCGCCCTTCCTCTCTTCTCCCATCCCTCGCAATCTGTTGCTTTTCATGTCATGATTGCTCCATTCATTGTTAACGGGAATGGAGTGTTGGCCCCGCCCTCGCTTGGGCAACGCCGACGACTTGGTCGGATGTACGGGAGTAGCAGCCGACCGTTCACAGTGGGAGAGCTGCTCGGCAGGTTTGGTCGAGCTGCAGGGGACCGCTGTGGTGTTGCTGTCGACCAGGGAGCGCGACAGCTGCAACTGACTGGTCTGGGCGACGGGTGGGCCGTCGACCAGGAGGGGCAGTTCGACCAGGAGGTCGACGGAGCAGTCCGTCGACCTGACAACTGAGCAGCGGTCGACGAGGGGAGCTCGGCGACATCATCTGCCAGTTCTGGTCGACGGAAGGGGTCCGTCGACTAGGGGGTAGCTCGACGGGAGCTGTGGTCGACCAGAGGGACCTGGTGGTCGACCAGAGGGACCTGGTGGTCGACCAGAGGCACTGGTGGTCGACCGGAGCACTTGATGGTCGACCAGGTCGACCAGGTAACCTGTTCGACGAGTTCTGCGGAGGCACGCGAACGTCGTCGAGGTCGCGATGGCGAAGGCGACTTCGGGCTGGTATCCCGAAGTCGATGTGGCTTGTCAGGCGCAGACAACAGCCGACAGATGCACAGCAATGCAAGTCGGGCCAATCGTCTGCGCGCACCTGCGAGCGTGCGCGCTGCTGTGTTCTACGGGGCAACGCTGGACAGCCGCTCTGCTGCAACGTTGGCACGCCGTCGACCTGCTCTGTTGGCAGGTCGCCTCTCCGCAGTACTGGCGCGGCTCCTCTACGCAACGCTGGCAGGCGGTCGACCAGGCGGTCGACCAGGCTAGCTGCAGGGTTGCTAGGTGTCTGGTGTAGTCAATTCTGTCATTGCTTGTTTAACCATTCAGTAATTTCGACTTTGCTAGTGAAACTCTTGCCAACTTCTCCCGTGAATGCGCAAGTGCTAAGGAACGCAAGCAAAGCTACGATCACTCCTAGTAGTTCGTGCCAAACCCCCCCCCCGTAGTCTAGCTCACTACCTTTGTCGAGTGACTCTCCGCATGGTGCGGTGAGCGTGGACGGCCCCGCAGATTACCTTCAGATAGGAGCCGACTTTTGCACCTACTAAGTCGTTTGTAGGCCGGCAGCAGCGTTAGTCACCATGGTCGACCCCGTAGTTGATGCGGGCGTAGCGGACACCTTGGAGGCTCGCTTGGCTGACGCGAGGAAACGCCACGCGGATGGCAAGTACGGGACGATCCCCTTGGTGATCGCCGAGTTGGGCATCCGGTCGCAGTGGGCGACGGAACACCCTTCCCGTCCTGCATCTCCTCGACCGGTGCGCAACGAGGGTGGCGTCGACGATGAGGTCGACGGTGGTGCACGAGTCAGCGGCAGCGATGGCACGAAGCAGAGAGGGGTGATCAAGGTCGACTGTGGTGTCGACGGAATCCAGGCGCGAGTGCAGCGGTCGACGGCGGCTGCAGGCAGCTCGCGTGCCGACGTCGATGTTCGACGTCGCTCTCCTCTACGAAGCGGTGGAGGGCTCTCGGCGACAACGCATGTGACGGCGGGCGGGATTGCACCGGCGTATGGCTACTTCAAGTTCTCGCCGGATCGGATCACCGTCACACCGCTGCAAGGTCGACGGGACCTCATCACCTGGAGGGAGTCGATAGAACCTCAGCTGGAGGTCGCCGGGCTGAAGGGCTTCGCCGACGGCACAGTGCCAACTCCGCCCGTGGACGGTGTCGAGCTGCGCGGGGAGTTTCGTGCGGCCCACTTGCTCACCTTCATGGTCATCTCGAGGTGCTGCTCGCCGGTGGTGCAGCTGGCGCTCAGGAGCTGTCGAGAGCGACTGGATGCTGGTCACCAGGCATTGCACTTCATCCTGTCGACGTACCAGGTCAGGGACGACCTGTACATCGGACAGCTGGAGGAGAAGATGACACACATTCGGATGTGCGAGCAGGAGTCGGCGACGGACTACTGCAACCGTGCTCGACGGATCTTGGCTGAGATGCGGATTGCTGGTGCCGAATACTCGACGGCGTCCTACATCACCCACATCGTTAAGGGCCTGCTGCGCGACTACAACCTCATGAAGAGGATGATGATGGTGCCCGGCACGCGTGAGTCCCTCGACGAGGACTCCATCACTAGCTACATCCTTCAAGACGAGGCGATGCAGGAGGCCGAACAGCCCACGGAGCTTCTTCCGCAGGCAAACTACGCTGCACCGACGAAGCTGCATCAGCAGCAAGGGCAGCGCGGGAAGCCGGGCGGAGGTGGTAGCGGAGGTGGGCGGTCGACGAAGGACGTCGACGAGAAGAGGTCGACGCGAGACAAGGGCAGTGGAGGTGATGGTCGACGGCAGGAGTGCTGGATCTGCCACGACCCCGACCACCTTTCCTACGAGTGCCCCGATCGCGACGACAGCGACGAGGACGACACCAAGGGAGGCCGTGGCCGGTCGACCAGCCGTCGCCCCCGTCGAGATGCAAAGCCGCTCAAGGAGAAGCAGACGTTGAAGAAGACGTCGTCGACGAAGGACGTCGACAGCTCCAGCGGCAAGGGCCGAGGCGACGGGGAGTCGTCGTGCTCGATGGTCCGCGTGGTGGAGCCGACGGTCTCGCTGGCGCCGGAGGCTGGCGAGGACTTCCAGGCGGTGGCAGCCACTGTGCAGGCCAACCCAATGGCAGTGCTGCTCGACAGCGGGTGCTCCCACCACCTGATGGGGACGAAGGCGGTCTTCGTCGACATGGCGCCGAGCGACGGCGTGAAGCACGTGCGTGGATTCAACGGGGCGCTGCAGCCTGTCGAGGGTCGCGGAACCGTCGCTCTACAAGGGGAGGCCGGGCAGCAGGTCCTCATCCCCGACGTGCTCTACGTTCCGGGTGTACAGGCGAATCTGCTGTCTGCTGGCCAGTTGAAGGAGAGCGGAGTGCAGCTGCAGGGCGACGGCGACGAGATGCTGCTTGTCGCCGCGACCGGGGAGGTGCTCGATCGAGCACGCTACACCGGACGAGTCCTCTGCACCGACCTTCGCCCC